TGAATCAAGTATAATTTGACACCATCATAATCATTGAATTGTTTAGCATTCAGAAACAAAAAGTAATTGGAAGATGCAAAGAATTGTATGGTGGATAGAGCAAAATATCCTACCATTCTAATCAATCTCGAATAATATGTGAACAGAAATATGTGGTGTCTATAATGGGTTAAATCACAGTTTCAGAACGCTTTTTTCAAATGCACTTTTTTATTTTGTAAGTTGTTTAATGTGGGCATCAGGATTGAACCTTCGATTGGTAATAACAGTTTAAAGTAGACAATTTCTTTTCAATCAATTTCATCTGAACGACCAGATCATTTTCAAAGATTCAACTTTGAGTTAAAAATCACCAGAACGAAATTTGGCAAACCCATTTTGGCACAGCCGTTTGTTAAAGCTTCGTTGCCATAAATAGTTAATAACTTTTCATGAGCTTAAAGTGCCTTTTTGCCTTTGCGGAAATAAAAAAGCAAAAAATGCCAAAAAATCGATTTGATTTTCCATCTTTCAATGAAAACTATGCAATGGATGAAAAATCTCTATTTCACTGATGGACATCTAAATTGCCTACTATTTCTTAACAAAAGGTAAATTACATCTAAGCCAAATACCGCACTAACTTAGTTGCCAATATCATAAATAAATTATAAAATTCAAAAATAATTTGAAATTTATGTATGTCCGTCTTACAATTGTATGATATGAGGAGAGAACGATGCATTTGTCTTTTCTTGATTTCAGAATTTCATTTACAACATGTTATTTTATTTGTTTCATCAATTTATTCAAGAAATGCTATGAGTCATATGGATGTTGTCATTAAAAATTATGGATTACATTATAAAAGATCCAAAACAAGTCTTAAAAAAATGAATCAAAAATACTACATTCCTCAATTCTTTTTGTTACTTATGTGAACCTTAATAAATTCTAATAATAATTTTACACAGGATACTAATTTCAATATATCCAAATCACATAAGAAAAATAAATCCAAGTTATATTTAGATGTAGGCGTTAGAAACACATGCGCACACATCACTAATATCTCAACAATTCAAATATTTACACATGTCATCAGTTCATAAACTGCACGACTTCCAACACAAAGGCAAAATTAAATAATTTTGTAATAACTCACCGAATAAATAACATAATTAATTAATCAATAATTTTCGTTTTTTTTAATAATTCGTTAACTCGAGTTTTGTGGCCCAACAGCCGTCGATCGTTTACACACTCGTGACTGAGCGGCGAGTCGTGCGCCGTTCTAAGTTTGGAAGAGACTTCGGCTCGGCACCTCGGCAGCTCCTGACGCGACGCAATTGTGCAATGGAAAGGAGGCGCGCGCGAACTGATGGACCGATGGACGTGATGAATTTTAATTTTATAACTGAATCGTGAGAGATTTGTAATCAGAAATCAGGCGACAATATATAATTGATATTGATATTGTCTTGCACTAAGGATCAAATTATAAAGTAACCTAGTTATAAGTAGTATAGCCTTAAGGTAAGTTGCATTATCTTTAGGATGCGTATGCATAAACAATTTAATCAATAAAAATGAAAGAGGTTTAAGTATTTAGGTGAAACATAGGTTCCAACTATTTTTTTCAAAAATAAAATTTTCGCTTTCACTAAAAATTAATCAATGCGATTTCAAATTGATGTCTTTTAAATACTTATACTAGGGCCGATCCTACCTTGAACGCGATTCATGCAAAAAATGCGGGCGCACGCCTTAGGGGGCCGCCAAAACGAGATTCGAATATAAAGTTTGTAATATAGTTCAATATATCATTCAAAAAATATATAATTGCTTTGTATGCTGTGGTGTATGGCATCGTGCCTTAAGGCAAATTGCAGAAACTTCCCGTACCGTAATGAAATATTCGAAAAATTTTAAACGTTTTCAAATATATTATTACACATACTGTAACTTTCATTATTTTTGCTATCTTGTTATATCTGAGAAAATCAAATGTAAATCATAAATAAATCAATTTATCTCCAGAACATTAACAATCGTCATTTCATTTCGAATTCAATTTAAAAAAATAGTTGCCTAATTTACACAACATTGAAAACGTGCTCCTGTATAGTCACAGTCTAAATGCATTTGCAAATAATTCTGTGCGACATTTTCACTTATACTGTGCTTAGCATGGCGGCATTTACATATTTTTGAATAGTTTTCACAAAATCGGAAAAGTGCTACATAAAGTACATAAACAGTCTAAATTAAACGCACTTGGGCAAACATTTGTACCAGAGTGGCGCTTAGACCGTGCTTAGCCTGGGTGTTTATCCAAAATTAGAAAAAGGGGGCCCCCAACGAGCGCAACTAAACTTCATTTTTGTACAAATTTTAATAATTTTAACGTAGTTTGCATCTCCTTTTTTTATCGAGAGGTATTGAACTTCAACTTGTAAGCTATCGCAGTAAGAGAATTTATTTCTGCTGCAATATTTCTGCGAGCTCAAGCAATCAATTCAATTATTTAAGCTTTTCCGCATTCGATAAGTTAACAAATCTATAAAACTAATTCAGATTATATATTCTTCATCGAAAATTAGAATTTGGAATTTTTAAATTTATATTATATATAATTTATATTTGTTTATATTTTATTCGTTTTTTGTTTGTCGTTGTTACTACTTGAATTGTCTGCATGACGCGTCAGTTTAATAGTTATATTTTAATAAATATGATCAACTAAATCATTTTCAGGTTTCTTTCTTCACTGTTTAAAAATATAAGTTTCTGCTCTGAAACTTTACAACACGCCAGTAATGGCTTAGAAAAAACTAGTATTTTTAATCTAATAATGTAGTAGATATTTTTTTTATGAATTAAAAATTCTGAAATTAAATATTAAATGAATTAAAAATGCAATTGAAGGTTAAAATTAAATTTATATATTCACAAGAGATATTTTTTATTTCTTTTTCTAATAACAATCAGAACATTCGTTATATTCTATGAGCTATTTCGATTGACTTTAATGAAATTTAATTAAAGATGTGTGTTGGCGGTAGGGGTACTGTGTGATGAATTTTACTAGATCAAATTAACTGACCATAACTGAACAACGAGTGAATTAGAGTGATTCTCTAATTTTTGATGATGATTACAGTCGATCTTGTTTTTATGAAATCTTTAATATATAACACCTTTAGATAATCATGTAGAGTTTTATTGCTTACGAACCAGGGTGCACCTGTTATCATTCTAAGATAAATGAAAAATGAAAATAACTAAGCATTACAGTATTTTATAACGTATTTAATATAATTGAACATCTAACCTAACTAAAAATGACAATAGAATACAAGACAATACTATAGTATGAAATTTAGATTATGAAAAGCATCTCATTTTTTTTTTCAAAATCTTTTACAAAAAGGTTTCAACAATTAATTACGAAGAGAAGGACAGCCCGATTTTTAATAAAAACTATAATCTGTACGATTCCCAACTGATATCTATCCGATATACGAGGGTTTTTAAATTTTCAAAATCGGTTGAAGATTTTTTGAGAAGATGTAGGCGCAATTTTTGCACTTTTCTATGAGTTATAAAGATACATCTTGACCTTATAAATATAACCAATGCGAGTCCTTATCTAATTTTTCAAACGGTTTTTAAATATTTTAAACCGGTTTTGAACGACTGGGTATCAAGAGATATGAATGAATATATTATATTTTCATATTGTCTAGGGAGATCAAGTTTTGGCTCACATACATAAACATACCTTTTCCAAATTTGGGGCCAAAAGATACTTGAAACGTCGAGAAAACATAAAATTAGAAAGTCGGGTTTTCTGGCGAAAGCAAGCATCTTCAGGTAGTTGAAAAAAATAAGCGTAAAATATGAAATTATCTTGATCTTCAATATTAATCTTACGAATCTCCCACAGTAATTAACTTCCCGTAGGGTAAGTTATAATAATGGGCTGAAAATCGAAAATAAAATTTTTTGCATATCTTCACGTTTGAGAGGTTTCTCAACATTTTGGCATAACTAAGAAAAAATGGATGTGTGTGTGTTTTGTGTGTCCGCATTTTTTCGTTTACGTTTACGGGCGCATGGATCAACCGATTTGAATGGTTCAAAAAAACATTCGATTACTATTGATAGGGAGATGTGCTGATTAGTTTTTGACAAAGGCATGTCCAGCCGTTACGGAGATACGGAGCAAAGAGTGCAGAAAATACAAATCAAGGTTTATAGAGAATCCGATTTGAATAATCCAAAAGACATTCAATTCGTAATGATGGGGAGATGTGGTGATTAGTTTTTGGCAAAGACAGGTTTAGCCGTTTTGGAGATACCGAACGAAAAGTGCAAAAAATGACAGTTTTCAAGAGAACTAACCATCCCATTTAAATGATTCAAAAAAGTTTCTGCATGTATTGATGAAACGATTGCATTTGGAAAAAGATTTTTTTAAATTTTCATTTTTTTTTGAATGTCGAAAATAATTCGTATTTTAATTTTAATTCTGGCTAAAGTTCTAAAGATCACTAATATACTTCGAATAAATAATTTTACCTTCGCTGTTCAGTTTATATAATTCTTATAAATATTATACGATGTCCTTTATTTTAAATTTGATTGATTGAGTTTTGTTTATTTACTTTTCTGTAAACATATATAAGTTACAGTATTTATAATAATCTATTTGTAAACATTTAATATTCCTCGAATATTTCATTTCGTCCAAAGAAGTTCCAGCAATTTCCCTTAAGGCACGATGCCATACATCACTAGTTTAGTTATAAATGGAGGAAAAATAATATACATACGTATTTAAATTCAAAAATAATTTTTTAGCGCTTTCTCAAAGTGCCCCAGTGCTATCTAATGTCAAAATGCAGAAGTGAACTGACATTAATGACATGATGAATCATAACATTACCTTTTGTAAATAAATTGATTTGTCCCTCACTTTAAACAAAATAAATCTTGCCTTATTAATAGTTGTTCAGTACAATATAAATTCTAATGATAGTTTATTATGTGAATAGAATCTACATTCATTGTTATTATATGAATAATAATCTAAGATGAGTATTTTAGCTGAGTGCCATTCCTTGATAAAACAAGGCTTGGAGGCTGACGAAGCAGGAAATAAGGATGATGCAATTAAATTTTATGTTCAAGCGGGAGAACTCTATATCACAATTGTAAATTTAGTTTATAATATACTGTAGTTTAAAAAAATATCAAAACTATACTTTTGTAGAGTGATGCTGCCGTTAAAGAACAACTTAAAGGAATTATACAAAATTGCATCTCAAGAGCAGAAGAATTAAAAGGTATTCAACATAAAGCACAAAATAATACACAATCAAGTTCTAATAGCTCAAGTCCATCAACACCGGTTGGTAATGCAGCATCTCCAACAAGTAAGAAATTCAATATTCCAACAAATACTTTTTTGTTGAAAAATAAAAAAATACAAAGAATATGGTACAGGTAACCCCCTTACAACATGGTAGTTACGTTCCAGAAAACTAGCGTGTTATGCGAATCTGTGTTATAAGGGACAAAAAACTAGTACAAAAAATGGGGTTCCGTTACAAGAATTTAAAAAAACATGCTACAAATCATGATTTTATAATAAATATTCTTACATTTATTTATTTTTTTAAGAGGTAATATGCAATATTTGAATTATATGATTTTTTTGTCATAATTGACATTAAGTGCTATCCAACATGATCCTTTTTTTGCAAGATATCTTCATCCTCTGAGCAGTTTTCTATACTACCTTCAGATCCATGCATTATTTTTTGCAAAAAAAATTATATTTGCGATTACTTGCTTTTAGCAAAAAACTTTTATACTCATTTCATTCATAGAATTGCTTAAGAATTATTTAATATATTGTTTGGATATTCCTAAAATTTGTTTTTTGATAGATCGTACGCGCCCTAATAACATATATCAAATTAGTTATTTTTTCCTCTAATTTCATCACATTTCTTGAGCTATTTTACGGCGATTTTACTAATTTTAGTAGTTTAATTAAACAAAGTTTTGCACTTCATAGGTTTTACTATATTTCTTATTTTATTAAAACTTTCCTGAATTCTTAAACCGTGTTAGGCGAACCCGAAAGTACCATGTTATGAGGGGGAACCGTGTTAGAATGAATCCGTTTTATAGAAGTACCCCGAAATACGAGTTTAATTCGTTTTGTAACCACGCTCGTAATTTTTTCCATATAAATACATTGAAATGCCATTAATTTGACCCAGCACTGTGGTTATTGATAAGTTTTTAGAAATTTAATTTTTAATTCATTATTGTTTTTTTCCTGTCCATTCATGTTAGAAATGTTTTTTTGAACAGCTCCCATGTTCGAACTGTTGCAACTTATTTGGGATGGTTTTTGTTCACAAACTTTTAGAGTTCATAAAACTTCTTATGATTTATTGTAAGACCCTTATCTGAAGACACACCTTATATCAACTCCTTTATTTAATAATATTTGAACACATAGTTTGGTCATTATAGTAAGTTTACCTCGGAATTCGATATACCCAGCTGTAAGTCTGTAAATACTTGTATATTCACACCCTAAAGTTGTCTCAAAACCTCTACATATTTATTGTACTATTATTGTAATTTTTTTACTCGAAACAAAAAATGTGAAATTAAAAAAAAATACCTTTCCAAATCAAAGTGTATTTTGCCAGATATATTCCGACTCCAAATTTTTATAGTTGCATACATATATTTTTTTATTTTTATTATTCAATTTATAAAATTTTTATAGGTCCCATTAGACCGCCATTACATCGTGGAAGTAGTGCTCATCTGAAAGTTTCGGGTGGACAAGAAACATACGGGGAAGATGAAAAAAAAGTATTGAAACATACATCACATATAAATCAAAAGATTTACTTACCATTTATAGCAGAAGATATCAATGAAACGTACGTAATACTTTTGCCATTATGACAGTATTTTTAATAAATGTTTGTTTTGGAATACTGGGTTAAAATATTTAACCGTAAATAGTGCCAAATAAATAATCCTTATTATGAGTTAAACCCTAAAAAATTGTAAGACATGTTAAACATTTTTTGAGTATCAAATTGTGTGTACTTTTATTGTAGGTTTAACTTTCCAATGCCTTTCTCTGATCGTGATGGTATATTAGAGCTATCTCCAAAACAAAAACGTGATTTTGTGAGATGGTCAACTTTATCAGAATTGCACCCGGAACCGAGGATTGTTTCTGGACATCAAGTAAACTATATGGATATTAAACAAACTGTATGATTTGAATCATAATATGAATAATATATTACATTGATTAAAATATTTATGTATATAGATGTCTTCCGATGAAGGTTGTTTCAGATTGTTCTTTTGTGGCATCCCTAGCAGTAGCTGCTCTGTATGAACAGAGGTTTCAAAAGCGCTTAATAACATCTATTTTATATCCAAGAAATAAAAATGATGAACCAAGATATAATCCAGATGGAAAATATATGGTTAAATTGCATGTAAATGGAATACCAAGAAAGGTATCTAAACAAATTAGTATCTTTGCTTTTACTATATAGTTTAATTCAAGAAGTAAACTCACAACATATTATAATTTGATAAAACTTCTAAAAAATTAAGAAAACAAATTTAGGAGGATATTCTGGCTTAGAATTCTTTATGCAATTTTTGTAAAGTCGTAAAAAAAGAACCAATATTGTTACGCCTTTTTAAAGCTAGTAATTAATATTTTGGAAATTTAGAAAAAAAATAAACAATTTTAAAGGTAATGAAATAGGGGATCCAAAAAAAATTGGTACCTGACCGCCATGATATCAATCATCCAAATAATCTTATGAAAAGTATATGTATATAAAATATATTATTATAGTAATATAATATTTTTGCTATCATATGTACTATGGACATTTTTTTTTCACAAAACGGTGAACGCTTGAAAAGTTTTTTTCACAACTTTTTTTTTGATATTCTTGATTTTGTAAAAATAGTTAAAATTAGAATTTGAAGATAAGCATAAAAAGTCTATAGAGGAATCTGGAAAAATATTAGGTAATTCAGAGCAATAGAAGTTAAGAAATCATGGGTTTTGTTTCGAAAAAACAGTTCATGGTTTAAAGTTTTGCAGAAGAAGAAAACAGTGGAAGATTGTTGTGGGCAAATAAATAAATATCTGAAAACAATTTAGATTTTGAAAAATCCTCTTGTGCACATATTCCATGGTTAAACTTTTAAATTCTAGACCCTCTTAAAATGAAAAACGCATTGCAGATCTAAAGTTATTTTTTTTATTTTATAAGCTCCTCCTAAAATGATCTTTTTAATTCAAATTTTATTCTGTATCTTATTTAATTCAAACTTTGATATGTGAAAAAGGTTATAATAGATGATCGACTGCCTGTTGGCTATGGAAACAGATTGCTTTGCTCATATTCAAGTAATACTGAAGAATTCTGGGTTTCATTATTAGAAAAGGCATATATGAAAGTAATGGGAGGCTATGATTTTCCAGGATCAAACAGCGTAAGTTTTATGCATGAGATAACTGATTCTTTTGAAATAGTGTATACCAAATCATGCAAAATACAAAAATTTCAGAATATAGATTTGCATGCACTAACAGGTTGGATTCCAGAAAGAGTAGCAATTCGTCCAGAAGAACAGGACTTCAATGGTGAATTATTATTTGCTAAAATCATGAGTGGCTTAGCTAGAGGCAAAGTTTTAGTCACTGTAGCAACTGGTGAATTATCAGAGGCAGATCAAGACAGGACTGGTCTTGTAGCAACTCATGCATATGCAGTAATGGATGCAGTTAATGTTGATGTAATTATTTACTTTTTGTTAATATTAATAAAATAGTTTAATCAGATTAGGCTGTCGAGTAGAAATTGGTCTTATACATATATGTTATTTAAAACACGAAATTTCATCTCTACAAAACATTGTTTGAAATTATAAATGCTACCATAACACGGGATGTTAAGGAACGTTTGATTTTAAAGATGATCTGTAAAGAAAGTAGGAAAGTGAACAGGCTAAAACTGTCCTATTCTATAAATTAGACTTATAAGATCATTATAGAACCAAATTTTGCGGCGTAGAATTTCATTCATATAATTCGTCATTTTGCTGATGTTGCCTTGATAAATATACTTGAATTGGTTATAAAGAATATGGTTAATTAAATAATAATACTTTGATATTATTTTAAACATTTAATTTATTTTTATAAAAATTAGAAAAATATAAAAAGTTGAAAAACTTCCAAAATAAAAATAAAATATAAGCTGGTATTATTATAGTAAGTCATTTCATTATCAATACTGAAACCTTCTTTAAACTAGTGGGGTGATGGCGTCGTCCCTTAAGGCAAATTGCTGGAACTTCCCGTACCGCAACGAAATTCGAAGAATATTAAATGTTTTCAAATAGATTATTATAAATATTGTAACATTGTCTAATATTTATAAGAATTATATAAACTGAATTGCAAAGTTAAAATTATTTGATTAAAATATATTAGAACTTTAGTCAGAATTAAAAAAAAATCTGAATTATTTTAGATATACAAAAAAAAGACATTTTGAAACAAAATTTTTTTTTCCAAAATCAATTATTTTGTTAAAACAAGCAGAAAGTTCTTTGAATCATTTAAATCGGACGCTTATTTCTCTCAAAAACTGCCATTTTTTGCACATTTAGCTCTGTATCTTCGAAATGGCTGCGCCTGCCTTTTCCAAAAACTAATAACCATTTCTCCCAATCATTACTAATTGAATGTTTTTTAGATCATTCAAATCGGATGCTCCGTTCTCTCAAAAACTCGATTTCTATTTTTTGCACTCTCTGTTCTTTATCTCCGTAACTGCTGGACCTGCCTTTGCCAAAAACTAATCAGCACATCTCCCCATCAATAGGAATCGAATGTTTTTGAACCATTCGAATCGGTTGATCCGTGCGCCCGAAAACGTGAACGAAAAAATGCGGACACACAAAACACACACACACATATCCATTTTTTGTTCAGAAACCTTTAAAACTGAAAATGTTCAGAAACCTTTAAAACGTCGAGAAATGCAAAAATTTTCATTTTCGATTTTTGGATGATTACAATATGGGAAGTTAATAAATAAATCAAATAAAAATATGAAACAATGAAGGTATAATTTTTAACGGCAATAAAACAAAAATATAAACTTTGAGTAAAATTTAGCAATAAATAAGTTACAATTCCGCCAATAAACGTAAATAATTTTTAAAGCCCTTCAAATTAACAATGCCTAATCGTCTATTGTAGCTTAAATCAGGTTTGATTGTGAATGTTATATGTTTTGGAAGCTTTTAAAACAGCTAATGTACTATATTGCAAATTTCTTATAAAGCCTTTTTATGTATGTATATTATATATATATATATATATATATATATACATATATATATATATACATATATATATATATATATACATATATATATATATACATATATATATACATATATATATATACATATATATATATATATATATACATATATATATATATACATATATATATATATATATATATATATATATATATATATATTAGGGTGGTCCTTAAAATGGTCATTTTCGAATTTTCTTGCTCCCAGGGGCTCAAATGGTTCCAAATTGATAAAAAACAATTCTCTGAAAGTTTTAGCTCTTAATATTAACGTTTAGATAGAGCGCAATTCAATCAAAGTTTGTATGGAAAGAGCATGGAAAAATTTTTGAAAATTAAAAAAAAATGTTTTAGGTGTAACTTAGTGACAAATGAATGAGTTTTATTCATTCATTTGTTCGCTAAATTACATTTAAAAAACATTTTTAAAATTTTTGAAAAATTTTCCATGCTCTTTCCATACAAAACTTTGATTGAATTGCGCTCTATCTAAACGTTAATATTAAGAGCTAAAATTTTCAGAGAATTGTTTATCTATTTGGAACCATTTGCGCCCCTGGGAGCAAGGAAATTCGAAAATGACTATTTTAAGGACCACCCTAATATATATATATATATATTGATGTACATTTTTTTTTCATTCTAGGGAGTAAATTTACTTAAACTAAAAAATCCTTGGTCACATTTGAGATGGCGAGGTAACTACTCCGAATTAGATACAATACATTGGACACAAGAGTTACAGGAGCAATTGAATTATGATCCTAATTTAGCTGCAAGACATGATAATGGTATATTTTGGATCGATTATACAAGTTTATGTAACTTCTTTGATGTGTTTTATATGAATTGGAATCCTGAAATATTTCAGTACACTTACTGCATTCATCAGTAAGTTATTTATTAACGTTCACATTTTTATTAGAAAAAAAATAATTTTCTTGTAATAATTTTTAGGACTTGGAATGCTGGAGTTGGCCCAGCAAAGGATGCTTATACGGTGGGTGAAAATCCACAGTTTAGTTTGAATGTCAGTCAGGGTGTAGGTGAAATTTGGGTTTTGCTTACGAGACATATAACATCAATAGAAGATTTTCGGGATAATCAAGAATATATAACAATTCTTGTCTACAAAAACGAAGGAAAAAGGGTTTATTATCCATGTAGGTTTATCATCAAAACATTAAATTTTAACATTATAATTATGATATTACTTAGCTTATATCATTTAACACTATATTTTATCTGGCCACATCCTACTCTTTGTGTTCAATACAGTATTGAGCACCAAAAACAACCAATAATTAAATGTTTTAAAATCTTTGATATAATACTTAGTTCATTAGTTTAAATACATTTATTATTTCAGCAAGTCCACCACCATATATTGATGGTGTAAGAATCAACAGTCCACATTACCTATGCAAGATCAGAATGGACCCAGAACGTGCAAGAAAATACACATTGGTTATTTCACAGTATGAGAAATCTACAACGATATATTATACTCTTAGAGCCTATTCTAAAAGCCCATTTCAATTGTCAAAAATACAACCATTTCCATATACTATTCAGGTAAGTAAAAAAAAAGAGGGTGCGTAGGGCTCACAGTCTTACACGCGATTGAAGTAGAACTTTTTGCTAATGTACAAGAAGGCAATTTGTCTTGAATCAAGTTACATAAACTTTGCGATGTGTGTAAATATTAGATAATCTGATGATTGACAAAGAATTTAATTCAATTAAGTTTGTTTTCACAAAAAAATCTGATTCGCTAATGAGACCAAATTTGGATATAGTATGTATGTATGTGTGTGTGCGTGTGTGTGAATAGATTTTTAGCCTTAAAACGACATTTTCTCAAAAACGGCTGGAACGATTTCAAAAATTTGAAAGCCATTCGATGTATCTTGATGAGGACTATTGTTTGTCAGTTTTGTGCGACGATGGGCCAATCCGTTTCTTTATAAATAGAAAATTATTTCGTTCACGTTTTAGCCCGCAATTTTGAAAATTCAAAAACCGTTCGAAAGATATTGTTCGGCAATCGTGCTGATTAGTTTTTGGTAGAGATTGGCCGGGCCGTTTTCTTGTAATAGTGTTAAAAAAAAAAAATTCGACAATTTTTATTATTTTTTTGACGGTAGATACCATAGTCTATAAATATTCAAAGTCAAAGTTTGCAAAAATTAGTATCATCGACGTTTGCTCTGAAACACCTGAACCGATTTCAGAAATTTAAAAGTTTTTTGATGTATCTCGAAGAGGATTAATGTTTTCCAGTTTTGTGCGACGATCGGCCAAGCCGTTTCTTTGTAATTTGAAAAAAATGTTCAACTTTTCGTTCACATTTAAGCTCATACTACTGAATCGATTTTAGAAAATCAAAAACTGTTCAAAAGATATTAGTTGCAAATGATACTGAATAGTTTTAGGTGAAAATCTACCGAGCCGTTTTCTTGTAATTAGCGGTTGAAAAAAAAATAGCCCTTTTTTAAGGAACTGTTTTTGGCGATATATATCATGGATTTATAGAACTTACTGAAATATTACGGCCGTACGATAAGTAGTTTAATTTTAAAAACTCATCAAAATTTGGGAAAATGAGTAGTTTTTTTTTTTGTTTGTTAAAATTAAAATTATAGAGTATTAAAACTATGGAGTATTTGGTCTTAATGAACATACTAAACCAAGTCCAACGGAAACTGGTTCAATTATAAAAATTGTTGATTTTATTATTGTCAGATGGTGTTCACAGTTTTTTACACAGGTCCTTATTGCTGCTGATGGAGATGTTGATTGAAAGTTGTTAAGTTTAATAGTTCCAATACTGCTATAGGACCTTGTACATCATTTGACGGCAGGCAAGCGCGGTTTCTTTTGATTCTTATTCTTGTTGATCTATGCTTCTACTTAGACTTACCGAAAAAAAGAAATAGATGTATAATGTAACATATGTATAATTTCAAACATTTTTTGAAGCGGTGGTTTATTGTAAATAAGTAGTATTGAGGCTATTTAAATATCAAATTAATATTTATTTCAATATAATTTCATTAATAGTTTTTAAACCTGTTGTTCATATTCAAAATATGGTTCACAATAATATTTAATTATAGGAAACAGGTGAATGGAATTGCCGAACTGCGGGTGGATGTGCAAATTATCCTGCAACTTATTTAAATAATCCAAAGTACCGACTTGAATTAAAGAACAGATTGGACCATCATATGCTAATAGAATTGAGAGGACCCAGAGAGTATCAAATTGGTTTAGAAGTCACTATTATATCACTAGAAAATGATAGTGTTAATGCTCCATTCAAATCTCGTTCTACTGGTGCTTATAGGTAGGATATATTACTATTAACTTTTTAGCACAAAGGCATTATCAAATCTAAATTTAACTAGATGTAAGTGGCATTTTGTATTAAAGTAAGTTAATAATCAACTGCTTATGACATATATGTTGCATGACTTAAGGGTGTGACCCATTATTTCATAGGTAATTTATTTTTATTATCAAACCACCTTTCGTAGACTTATATGAATATTTTAGGATGTTCAATTAGATTGGCCAAAAAAAAATTAAATGACTAATTATCGACATCTTCTGAACAGTTCTCTAATTTTCGATTTTCTTTTAAGATTTCTCCGTCGACAAAAAATTTTGCATTTACATGCTAATTGTTATTAAAAATCGGCTCGGCCGATCGTTGCGAAAAATTGACCAAAGTGAGTCCTTATCAAGTGTTATCGAATGGTTTTTAAATTTTTAAAATCGGTGCATTTGGTCTCATACACTTATACAAAATAGTTTCAATTTTAGTGTCACACGATTTAGAATGACTACTCAAGTTATTCAGAATAATCTGATGAAAAGATAAACTTCAGAAACTCTTCAGAAAGTTAATAAACAATGTTAAATAGCTTTTTAAATAGTCTAAAGCTTGCGCATGATTTTTTCCACATATCAATACATACATATATAACATCTTGAATAATTTTTACCTTCATTGTAGATCAGGATTTGTGGCTCTAGATCTAGAGGAATTACCATCAGGTGTATATGAAATATTGCCATCAACGTTTTATCCGAACCAAGAAAGTCCCTTTTTTCTCACAGTGAAATGCTCAAGTCCCGTAAAATTTATAAGATAATATAAATTTTATTTTGCATTTTAATTATATCTATTTTAAAGTATACACATTTTGCAATGGATTTTAACTTGCTGTTCACAAACGCTGATTATGTATATAAAATAAAAGTATAACAAAATTAAAGTTATCTATTATATTTTAAAATAAACTTTGATGAAAATTGATGAATTTGCGGTATAAAAGTAATAAAATCAATAAAAATTTATCAATGGCTGATAACTATTATTATAATTATTATTATATTTAATTTTTGTCATTCATATTTTATTAAGCAATTGGAGGAGAGGTAGTTATGTGTAATCTATATATGAGCCCATATGAGCTATTAGTGAGAAAGTACTTTTTGTGATTATAATAACTTTCCGGAATAATAAAAATTAGTACCGCGAAACGAAAATTTTTTTTGACCACTGCAGCAGAAATCATTTATTTCGGAAGACATTTTGATTAACTCAATTCTGAAGTGTATATGTTCTGCCTAGGTCTGATTTTGGGTTTCGAGTTCATAAATTACGGATAAGAATTTAATGAAAATATAAACCATATGATTGTTTAGCAAATCGTGAATTTCAAAAAAAATCATAATGATCTAAAAACAACAAGTACGTTACAAACTTAGAAAATATAACATACTAAAATTTGAGTACCCAGTAAAACAGGAATATTAAAACTGTCTTACGTTTATTGAAAGTTGTTCAAAGTACCGAAATAAGAGCTAAGTTAATTAGACATTTTTTCACCAGATAATTGATACAATATCATGAAAACATAAAAAAGCACGACTTTAGCTAATCCAAATGTTTCACCAAGATTCTTCATTAACAAAACCATTAGAACAATCAATCACTAACAGAAAAGGAACCATCACAGGATGTCCTGTAAATTGGCTTGAAATGCGCTGGAATAAGTTGGGAAGGTCCAAATCCAATTTTCTGCAATTTAAATGTAACTATAATGAAGTTACGGATTTTAAAGCCATTAATGTAAGAAAGTACCAAGTAAACCGAAATGTTTAAATAGTATAGTTTTTTTTATATTCTAAAGCTAAAACTTTGACAAAGCAAAAATTGAGAAACACGAAGGATTTGCTAATATTTATTCCTCATATTTAATCCATGAATACTACAAAAACTTGACAGAAATTCTAACTGACAAATCATCACATAATACAGCTTATGGAGACAATATTATTTATAATCAATCTGAATAATCACAAATAATATATTATGACAGTAAATATTCATTTTTATGAAAGAGCTTTTAAACAAATATGTAACAATTACCTAAAAAAACCTAACCTAATTACCAAAATTATCTAAATTACCAAAAAACCTAATTATATATATATATATATATATATATATATATATATATATACACTCGTCTTTTATCTATGCGTGAATCATTCATCAAAATCTCCATGACATGTACAAGATGGCCGATTAGTATATTGTCTAGTATGGCCGGCCCATAGGCGAATTGAAATGTGACATAACGGTTCGTTCCATCCGAGCCAATCTGACAGTCCGAAACTATCCGCGCATGCGCAGAACACTATCTAAAAGTTCGAACTCGAAACTGTTGTGGATTGTCAGTAAAGCGTTCCATCAGAGCCATACATAGACCTTATACAATTTCATATTGTATTGTGTAAGGTCTATGGAGCCATATCATAGCAGTCCGAGGCGTCCGAGGAGTTTGAAATGTTGTGATGGTGGTGTGTTGACCTGATGACAGGTGACAGGAGACCGGATGACACTTCAAGCAAGCGCAAGGTTTCTTGGTCCGCAGAGCGTCATTGCACAATCCATTTTAATCTCAGCCATCGCGGGAAGATCTTGGGAAGCCAGTGGACAATCAAGTAGTAAGGCCGAGTATATATTAATATTTTGCATTAGTCATTTTATGTAATGGGAATTATTTGTGGATTCGAAGCTTATGCAGGTGTTTACATGATCTTCTCAAGGGTGCTACAAATACCCATCACTACATAATGACAGATTTTGATTGAGGTTAGTAACAATTTGAGAAGAAAAATGGCGCGTCAAATCTTATACGATCATAGATGAATTTCGAATGTTTTCATGCAGTTTGAGAAATTATTGAGAAAAGGACCATTAATATTGCTTTGATGCAGATGGTCGTCTTTCAATTTCATTAGTGAGTTGCTTTAATGGTGTATATTTTTTTTCTATATTTGCCTATATCGCATCAATTGGAAATCTTATCTGAATCGCTATAGCGAATACAACATTTATTTGCTTTAACTATCCTGGCTCGTGATGAACAAAAATAATTATGATAAATCAGATTCGAGCATAATAATGTGATTCTATTTTGAAATTGTTGAAGGATTTCAATTATTCTCAAAAATTCTTTAGAAAGATTCTGTAATGCTAATACAATCAATGCTTTTTATATAAAATATTTTGTAAGTAAATGAAGCTGATGCATTAATTTTAATTTAATGATTTTGAAAACAAAGTACTTTTTACAATTGAATGTCACGGTCACAATGAAATGTATTCAACATATTAAAAAATATTTAGGTATTATAATTATCATACATACATTTTAACATTTCTACAGCAGTTTCCTCTTTCAATTATAAAAGCCTCTGAATTTTTATATAATACCCTTGATGACAAGAAAATTCTGTGCTGATCCTGATTTTTTACTTAAGACATAGTAAGGTAAACGTACCATATTACGGGATGTTAAGAAACGTTTGACTTTAAAGACGAATTTTAGAGAAAATAGGCAAGTGGACGAACTAAATCTGTTATATTTTATTAATTAGACCTTTGAGATTATTATAAAACAAGATTTTTCGTCGTAGAACGTCATTTATAGAAATAATCGGCATTTTGGTGAACCACGCGTTTGTCTCTAATTCCGTGATAAAATTTGGTTCATGAACCTAATGCCGGGAGTCGTTGTACACTATAGTGTACGCTATCACTCCGTGATAGCGCTCGAAGCATACATTTTTGATCGTAATGCCTTGATAAATATATTTGTAGGTTATGAAAAGTACGGTTAATTGAAAAATAATATTTTGATATAATTTTAAACACATATTTATTATATTTTCATGGAAATTTGAACAGTATAAGTGATTATAAAACTTCCAAAAAAAAAAATGAAATAAAAGCTGGTATCAAAATTACAGTAATTATTGTAACACTGGAAATGATATGAATAAATCAAACTGGAATGAAAAAATAAATCAAATAAAAAATATGAAACAAAGAGGATATAATTTATGTATTCAATTATCAATCCTAAATCTGCATAAATATATCTATTACTTAACATTCAAAATATATTTAAAGTATGAGATCATATAACAATTAGCTAGAGGGTTAATACATAATTTTCTTATTAAACTATATTTCTTATTTAATGAAAATATAAACTTTATCTAAATATATACTTTAAACACTAAATAAAAAATTTAAACACCAAATAAAAATAACAATTTCATCAACAAATGTAAATAATCTTTAAAGTTCTTAAATTTACTAGATTAAATCAGGTACAGAAAATACACCTCTTTTATTTACTGGAATTGGTGGTTTTATTTTTTGCACTATATCTTTGGCATCATAATCTAACACATCGTCTTTATCAGGCCAACGCCAGTTAACTCTTCCATTTGCAAAACCGCTCATAGTCATAGTTTTGACTAGGTACTTTGGTTGATCAGTCTTATCATTAGAGGTTCCGAGTATTATTAGTACGACGTGCATTATTCTCTATTCGCCAAGAATATACATTTCTACTCCAGGCACTTTTTAAGCTGTGAAAAACCGCTACGTCCATAGGCTGTAAAATATGAGTTGAATTGGGCAATAAGGCAACCAAAATAATGCCAATTTCTCTACATAATTTACACAGGTGATAGGACAAATGCGAAACATGACCATCCAAAAATAAAACAACTGGTTTTTCAATATTTTCGTTTATAAGGAAAGGATTGAGAACATTTCCAATATACTCAAAAAAGTTTTCGCTGGTCATCCACCCTTTATCACTTCTGCCTATGGACCAGGTTTTCGGGTATTTTGCTAATATGTTAGATGGTATCCTCTTATAAGGAAATAATGACAGAACTGGCATCAACTTCCCATCTGCAGAAGCGCCGATCAATACTGTAAGGCATTCCTTTTCATCATTTCCTGATCTGCAATGTACAGATTTGGAACCTGTTTTAGCTAAAACAGCTTGACCTTTTGGTCACAGAAAAAATGCAGATTCATCGCAATTAAAAATTCTAGATGGGTCTTGTAAAAGCTCACTAAAGTCATTTTCCTGAAAATATTTCTCAACTCGCTTGAACCATGCCCTAATTTTCACCTCATTCACACTGACATGAGCCGTAGTCAAGGGTTGACATATTCTTTTACTAATCAAAGGGTTTCTTCTAAGAAAACCCTCATACCAATGCCGACCTGGATATCCTTCCTTAAATTTGTTAGACCGACCGAGTTCAGCAACCAGTTTATGTATAGAATTTAATAAAATGTCTTTCGTTACAGGAAAACCCATTTGAGCCATCGTTATAACCCATTCAACAATAAGGTTTTCTACTTCGGGGGTCAGCACTGCTGGAGCTCCTGCACGACCTTGCTTTTTGTATTTTCCGTGTAATTTATCATATAAGGTTTGATTGGGAACTTTATATGTTCTGGAAGCTTTGTAAACAGATAAAGTACTATCGCGAATTTCTTTTAAAGCCTTTTCTAGGGTTTCATGTGAATATTTATTTGAAGCCATCGGTACTTTGAAAAACTAAAAAAAATATTTAAAAGTTATATATTTATACATAAAATTTACATAAACTGTCAAGTACGTTGCAAAAATTAAGCAAATCAAGACTACCGTATTTACGAATATGTCCCTAATTCGCTGCATACATACACACATACCCGCACACTAGTGATTCGTGCTCTATAAATATCGTGCGTCATTGATAGAAAACAAGTGTATCTATAAGCTTTGACATTACACAAATGATTTATCGTAGATGAAATAAAAGAAACATCTGATTCTC